TAAAATCGCAACAGGCATAACGAATGCCGACTAGTCATCGCATAGCCTCAATCCAAAAGTAAACCTAGGTCTTGCCCTAAACCCAGCACACTGGTCGCTAACGTCTCAAGGCATGAGCTGCGTCTCAACCAGGGTTTTAATCTTAGGTTACTAGAACTAGGAAACTCGCCGTCAGCTCTCGTAGCCATGGCTTACCTCGTTGTACCGTTCTAACGCAAAATCGGAATAAGAAACCTCGTTGCTCTTTATCTCAATTATTATACTGTTTTTACTTTTGTTATCGAATTCTGATTGCTTGCGTGTGGTTAAGAAGATAGTCGGGGCCTCTAAGAAATTAGGGTTTTCTCTAAGTTCCTTTATTCACAGAAATCGACGGTGTGAATTTTGGTTCCCACATAGACATACTCTGAGAAACGATCATGGCAATCACAATGACCTCACTCATGAAACAACATATGCATCATACCATCCATGCGCAGAAACAAGCTTCTTAGCAAGCTGCTGAACATGCTGCACATGAGGAACAACCACATAAACAAGACGTTCCAATTGGAAAGTGGAACCTTCCTCATAAATTTCCTATTACTCGCTCGGCAATCAACCCTCCTCCATGTCAGAGACAAGATTTCGAGATCAAACCCGCCTTCATAAACCTGGTGCAGAGAAAAGTTTTCAGTAGTCTACTGGCAGAAATTTTGATGGATCACATCGAGAATTCCGAGAAGTTTTTCATATTTATTCGAGCCCATGGTGTATCACCAGACAACATCAAATGAAAATTGTTCCCATTCTCTCTTAACGGGAAAGCTGCACGATGATTGGATTCTCTTCCCACCGGATCTCTCACCTCATGGGAACAAGTCCGCTCAGCGTTTCTAAAACACTTCTATACAAAGGCGACGACTGCCCAACTGAGGAACAAAGTATCCTCTTTCAAACAGCTCACCGATGAGCCATTCTGCGAAGTATGGGAACGATTCAAAGAATACCGTAGGAAATGCCCTCACCATGGATTCGCAGAAGACTACCTATTGGGAATGTTCTATAAAGGTGAACAGTACCGAGTCTCAAAAGATAAAAGAGCTATTGGCCAAGGTTGATCAGCTGCTGAAGAACAACTAGGGCCAAGTGTTCGTCATGGAAGAAGCTGTTCCAAAACAGAACGCTCAAGATGCCTCATCAGAAACAGAGAAAATAACAGAGGAAGAACAAGATGTCAGGTACGTACTAGGCCAAGGATGTCAATTAAAGAACTATCACCCCAACCCAAACGTTAGGAGCAACCAGCTTGTTTTCTCCTATAAGAACTATGTGGAGAATTCTGTGAGCAACAAGCTCAAGGAACAGGCTATCAAAAAGGGTATCCTTAGAATTTCCAAGGAAAAACCTACATCCTTATTAGTCAGGCACAAAACCAGCATCATAATTAAGAGATGCAGAACATTGAACAAGCAGAGGTCACAAATGGAGAACTACAAATTCTGTATGTTGGGATAGAGGTTCAGATCAGAGTTGTGTGGGCAGGAATACCAATGGCTAGAGTCCTCATGAACCCTGAATATCTGCTTGCAGAAATGTTCGCCTATAAACTGACTTTACTGATGAGAGGATCGCAAAAGAAGGATCGATTGGGCAACCTGTTAACTCCATTGTTTAGGCATTTCGAGATTGATCTCAGCCCCTACACATTCGAAGCCGACCTTGAGTACATCAATATCCCTTACCTGATCAACTGCCACATCTTGCAAGACGAGAACACTTGCATATTCCAGTACAAGGATGAAACACAGCTTTACTGCAGATTCCCGAGCAAGACATCACATGCCTATTTGTCTTCGAGAACTTTTGGTTCCTCCTAGCTCTCGAGCTCCTATGCGCCGATCCATGTACTGGATGACTACGAGCTTAAGCTAATCGAGGATGACGCGAATGAGCAGACTTATCGCTGCTTGGTGATTGACTCACACTGCAAGAACAATACCCTCATGAAGAGGATTCTCAAAGCGATTACCGGAGGCTGTTTCCAATCGCAGTCAGCTAAACCAACCGATCAGGTGCAAACACCTCAACCAACCAGGAGACCAGGAAAGGAACATGCCGAGTTTTTGGCAGCGGGGGTGCGCCCCAGAAGGAATAGGAGGGCACCATATCGCTCTGTGAGTGGAGAATCAGACTGAGTCCTCGAGGACTCCCTTCAATCCCATTGTTTTATCCATCTGAATTATTTATTTTATGCTTTTTATTGGTTTTCTTTTAGCCTTCTTAGATTGATCACTACAAGGAATAGTGTGAGGTAAGTCTGGGGAGGCAATTATGTGCTACTAATCTCGTTTTTTTTCCCTTTTGTTTTCATGTTCCGGTCAGTCCTTGTGTCATTTTCATGCTTTATCGAGTCAGTTTTTAGGATCGACTCAGCCAAAACTCTTGTGGGAATTAGGACCTTATTTTTTGATGATCATTTAACCACCTCGTGCTCTAACTTCCTTATTCAGTGACCTTAGCAGTGACGAAAGACCCACATCCGAACCTGGAACACCCTGACATATCTCACTTGACTCTCCAAAATTTCTCTACCGATCAGGTTACACTAGGTAGACTTAACTCCACCTAACTTGAACCTAATCTTGACTGAAATTCTTCTTGTTATAGGCACTAGATCTGGGAAATGAGACCTACACTCATGACTTCTTATTCTTTTAACCCCTCTGGATGTTCCTGAGTGGCTAGCTCATCTTTAGCTAGTTCCAACCTTGTACCTTAACCCTTGTTCCACCTTCATGCATTTGTTTTTACAGGGTCATATATGCAGATATGTGCAAAAAGGTCGGAGGACAAGATCAACGCAGCCTCTTACTCGTTACTGCTGCATCCAGTTGAAAGAGGAAAAACGAACAATGGAACAACCGAAGTATACTTGTTACCACTACAGAAGAACAATGGAGAAGGTAAAAATTGGGACCAGTGCTAACGAAAACAATGAGAATCACCAGTGGCAACAAGAGCATCACATGTTACCTACTTCTTCGTCACTCAATATTCCCTTTATGTATTACAAAAAAAAAAAATTATTTTACGTTTATACATGGTGATGAAGAAGGAGATGAATTCGGGTAAGCCATTGGGAATATCAAAGAAAGAATTAGGTACCACTTTTAGAAGTGTAAGTGGAAGGATTTAATGCGTGCAGAAAATCCCCATGGTTGATCCGAATCAGAGAACAATTGTTCCTGAGTTAAGCGAAAACGAGTAAGGGTAGTGGACATCAATGGATCCTTCCTCTCTTGCGGTTTTGCACGATATCTTGCATCTTCTAAAAATGGTAGCGCCTAAACACTTCTTAACTCCACCACTAAATTAGCATATTTGACACTTAGCCCTTCTACCCTGAATAGTGCTTGTGATAAGAACCTCACTCTGATCTTAATTGAATGTATGGAGTTCTGTCACGATAGTGTTGCTTTTTCAGATTGAGATGTAGAGTATGGAGCCGATCTTCAAACAACGGTCAGTGGGGTTCCGATAAGGGTATGTGGTCGTAGTCTACTGCTTGTATATTTCATAGATTCGTGGTAAGGGTATGGTTGCTGAGAATAGGAGAGTTCCCACACTTTCAAACCTTTCTCCCAGCTTGATACTTGGCCTTGTCCGAGGACAAACAAGGATTTAAGTCTGGGGGAATTGATATATGGTGTTTTTAACACCATTGCACATATGTTTTCAATTGGTTTTTAATCCTAGTTCTTCTCCACCTAGTCCTTTCTGAGTCGTTCCAGGTCTGGATGATCTTCTCTAGATGAAAGATGGAGCCTCTTTTGACTCTTCTCTAGATGAGAGCCTAATTCTTTCTTTGATCTTCCCAATGGCTTACACGAATTCATCTCCTTCTTCATCACCATATATAAACGTAAAATAATTTATTTTTTTTCGAAATACATAAAGAGAATATTGAGTGACGAAGAAGTAGGTAACATGTGATGCTCTTGTTGCCACTGGTGTTCTCATTGTTTTCGTTAGCACTGGTCCCAATTTTTACCTTCTCCATTGTTCTTCTGTAGTGGTAACAAGTATACATCGGGTGTTCCATTGTTCGCTTTTTCCTCTTTCAACTGGATGCAGCCGTAACGAGTAAGAGGCTGCGTTGATCTTGTCCTCCGACCTTTTAGCACATATCTGCATATATGACCCTGTAAAAACAAATGCATGAAGGTGGAACAAGGGTTGAGGTACAAGGTTGGGACTNATTGTTCTTCTGTAGTGGTAACAAGTATACATCGGGTGTTCCATTGTTCGCTTTTTCCTCTTTCAACTGGATGCAGCCGTAACGAGTAAGAGGCTGCGTTGATCTTGTCCTCCGACCTTTTAGCACATATCTGCATATATGACCCTGTAAAAACAAATGCATGAAGGTGGAACAAGGGTTGAGGTACAAGGTTGGGACTTGCTAAAGATGAGCTAGCCACTCAGGAACATCCAGAGGGGTAAAAAGAATAAGAAGTCATGAGTGTAGGTCTCACTTCCCAGATCTAGTGCCTATAACAAGAAGAATTTCAGTCAAGGTTAGGTTCAAGTTAGGTGGAGTTAAGTCTACCTAGTGTAACCTGATCGGTAGAGAAATTTTGGAGAGTCAAGTGAGATATGTCAGGGTGTTCCAGGTTCGGATGTGGGTCTTTCGTCATTGCTAAGGTCACTGAATAAGGAAGTTAGAGCACGAGGTGGTTAAATGATCATCAAAAAATAAGGTCCTAATTCCCACAAGAGTTTTGGCTGAGTCGATCCTAAAAAGTGACTCGATAAAGCATGACAATGACACAAGGACTGACCGGAACATGAAAACAAAAAAGGGAACAAACGAGATTAGTAGCACATAATCGCCTCCCCTGACTTACCTCACACTATTCCTTGTAGTGATCAATCTAAGAAGGCTAAAAGCAAACCAATAAAAAGCATAATATATAATTCAGATGGATAAAACAATGGGATTGAAGGGAGTCCTCGAGGACTCAGTCTGATTCTCCACTCTCAGAGCAATCTGGTGCCCTCTTATTCCTTCTGGGGCGCACTCCCGTGGCCAAAAACTTGGCATGTTCCTTTCCTGGTCTCCTGGTTGGTTGAGGTGTTTGCACATGATCGGTTGGTTCAGCTGACTGCGATTGGAAACAGCCTCCGTTAATCGCTTTGAGAATCCTCTTCATGAGGGTATTGTTCTTGCGGTGTGAGTCAATCACCAAGCAGCGATAAGTCTGCTCATCCGCGTCATCCCCGATTAATTTAAGGTCGTAATATCCAGTACGTGGATCGGCGCATAGGAGCTCGAGAGCAGGGAGGAACCAAATGTTCTCGAAGACAAACAGGCGTGTGATGTCATGCTGGGGGAATCTGCAGTAAAGCTGTGTTTCATCCTTGTACTGGAATATGCAAGTATTCTCGTCTTGCAAGATGTGGCAGTTGATCAGGTAAGGGATATTGATGTACTCAAGGTCGGCGTTGAATGTGTAGGGGCTGAGATCAATCTCGAAATGCCTGAACAATGGAGTTAACAGGCTGCCACATCGATCCTTGTTTTGCGATCCTCTCATCAGTAATGTTCGTTTATCGGCGAAAATTTCTGCCTGCAGATATTCAAGGTTCATGAGGACTCTAGCCATTGGTATTCCTGCCAACACAACTCTGATCTCAACCTCTATCCCAACATACAACATTTGGAGTTCTCCATTTGTGACCTCTGCTTGTTCATTGTTCTGCATCTCTTAATTATGATGCTTGTTTTGTGCCTGACAAATAAGGATGTAGGTTTTTCCTTGGAAATTCTAAGGATACCCTTTTTGATAGCCTGTTCCTTGAGCTTGTTGCTCACAGAATTCTCCACATTGTTCTTGTAGGAGAAAACATGCTGGTTGCTCCTAATGTTTGGGTTAGGGTGATAGTTCTTTAAATGCCATCCTTGGCCTAGTACGTACCTGACATCTTGCTCTTCCTCCGTTATTTTCTCTGTTTCTGATGAGGCATCTTGAGCGTTCTGTTTTGGAATAGCTTCTTCCATGATGAACACTTGGCCCTAGTTGTTCTTCAGCAGCTGATCAACCTTGGCCAATAGCTCTTTTAT